GCAGGATAAAGGGTTGGCAGCACGGGGCTGGGTGACCCTGCTGGAGCCGCAACAGCAATTTTTTAAATTTTGGTTTCAAACCTTTCCTCTAGGAACTAAGACATCACAGTGGATTATCAAAGCACACAAGTGTTTTCTTCCAAAGAGAAAGTATGTACAATCAACGCAAACAACTGATTTTTCCTCTGCCAGCAGCAAATGCCTGAGGGCCCCCACAGCTTCACAAACCATAGCAGGAAGAGACTAAAGTTCTTCAAAATTTTAAGAAAAATAATTCAAAATAGATCTGCTAGGGAAAAGGATCACTGGGGGCAGGGTACACAATACACCCCAGTCTCAGCTATTTTTTTGCAGGGTCACAAATTCAGACTGCACGTAGGCACCCGAGGCAGACCAGTGACCTCCAGTCCTGCCTCCAGCGCCCGCTTCTACACAGAGCTGGAGCCTCGGCCACGGGTGCAGGGGAGACCTAAGGGAGGATCCCCGGGGCATGCCCAGAAAGGAGAGGGCGGTTGGTCCTGCAGCAGTACCAGGTTCCAGACAAAGCTGACAAAGCTCAAGTGAGAGCGGCCGACGCTTCCCGGCAGAAGAGGAGCCGGCAGCTCAGGGGAGCAATTCCTGGAACCGAGAGGCACTTAAACCAAGTCCTAGTTTTACCAATTTACTGCAGCCTACGAGAGGAATCCTGTCTACCCACCCCAAAATCCTAATGACATCAGCAAAAAGCACCAAACCCCCCCAGGCTCCAGTACAGTACAGCAGAAGGGGAGGGGAGTATTCTAGCTGTACTGCAGAGCTGCTGCTTTTCACACTGATATTGTATCATCCCTGATAATTCAAAGTAAGGCTGGATGGACTGACCCCAACCACCACCCTTGGCAGCATGTTTGGTCCGAAATACTAGAGTAATTGTTCTGCTCCCTCCCACCCCGACATTTTCATTAAGTTACCCTAAAAGATTAACATCAAAATGATAGCATACATAAATAAAACTCAAGAGTTGACATAGTAACTCCAGGCTTTAGATCTCAATTGTCCAAGAAATCAGAATACCAAAGCTTTGAAATGCGCCAAATGTCGAGTTTTGCCAAGGGGGGGTGGGGAAGAAGCTTTAAGTTTAAGCCTTCAGAGCATCACTGAATCAGTAGATCAGTTCACAACCACCACAGTTTGTAGATGGGCTTGTCTCTGTCCCGAAATAAACAAGTGCTTTGTCCTCTTAATGTTGAAGGTAGCCACCGATAGTCACAGAATGGATGCACAGGACCTTGACTCTGACCAGCAGGGAAATTTAGGACAACTGAGTGCAGATACTGCCAATTTCTACCAGTTCAACTGTGCTTTAAGACTCATTGCAAAGCCTCAGCTAGAAAAAGGATCACCTCCAGGTATCCCACAAAATATAGAGTTTTAATTTTTTTTTTTTTTTTTCTTAAACCTTAGGTCTGTGCAGTTCAGCTGTCAATCATTTCAGAAAGTTCCAGGAGAAGATCATCCTCATCCTTCCCTGGGTCCAGGTCAATTTCTGCTTCCAGTTTGCCTCCTGAGATTTCCCAAATAAGCTTCTCAAAGTCATCTTCTACAGATAAGGGAGCTTTCCCAGCCCCTGTGGAGCTCAACCGGCGCGTCTTTACCGCTACTTGTGAAGAAGTTGAAGTTGAGCTTGAGACCTCTGACTGTGGCACGGAGTCTGCCTGGCTTCCAATATGCAGTTCAGGACTTGGAAGAACAAGAAAGAGAACAAATCAGTGTATGACATCCCTTAACCAGAGAGATGTTTTCTGCAAACTGGCTCTTAAAACTGCAGTTAATCCCTCCTATACCTCAACCTTACACAGGGATTGTTATTCAATTAAGCCGGGGCTACTTTTCGCGTCCAGTGTATCTGCAGATATATTTTTCAGTTTGGGGATTTATCCGTGAAGACAGAGCAGCTGGGGTCTGGCAAAGGAGGTTCAAATTTTGTAGCCAGAGACACTTTGCCACCTTTACTAGTTTGACTATAAAAAGGTTAAGAAGTCAATCTCTGCAGGCATTCAGAAAACCCAAGAAGTCACTGAAAAGCTGTACCAACTTGCAGCACTTTAAGAAATGAACCTAAACCTGCTAGCAAATTATTTCAGATGACTTGTTACTTTGCTGGATTTTGTCATTAATTATCTCAAAACTACATTTTTCCACATGTGAAAAAAAATCTTGTTTCACGTGAAAGACACGCGGATCAAGAAAAAGAACAAGTTGTGTTTGTTACCTGGTTTTGGGTTTTTCTCTCCCAGGTATGGAGACCAGGCTGTCCTCCGGCAAAGCAGGAACAACGGCCTAGGAAGAAGACAGTGTTTATGACACACAGGTAGAAGATGTCTTAGTAGATTCTTCCTCCACTGGAATTGCTGAGCCTTAACCAAGATACAGAACCAGGGCACTCCTGAAGAAAAGTTAGTATTCATTTGAAGTTTACTAACGACCTTCTGCCTTTTTTAAGAATATAGCATTAATGGACAAATCCCTTCTACGCCACAGAGAAGCCATAGCAGAGTATTATGTAAACAGTGCCAGTCATCTAATAAGCAGAAAGGTACTACGACCATCCCGTAGACCACTTCTGGATTTAAAAGGGAACAGAGACTGTAGAACATTTCAGTTTTCCATCTTTTCTCCAAGAGGAGGGTAAAACCTGGGCACAAATTTTACTAGGGACCCACTACTGCCTCAGCCACTGTCCTTACCACGGCCGCTTTTTTAGCTGAAGGCTCCTTCATGTCACCACCAGTGGTATTCAATGGTTTCACAGCCGCCACAGCAGAGGGATGACTCTCAGCTGCCTTACGTTTCAGCGTCTGCTTTGTGGGGGAAGTGGCTTTCCCATCCGAAGGCTTCAGGCATACCTTAGATTTGGCTAGAGTAAAAGGAAGAGAGAACTCGTAGAGTCTTGCTCTGCCTCAGGAAAACAAACAAACCAACCAACCAACCCCAACAGGTTCTCTTAACAGTCCCATGATTCTTCCAGTTAAATGTACTTGGCCAACACAATTACACTGCCATTTCCCAGACTCTCAGCAGCATTTCCACGTAGTAAACTCTGTTTAGAATCACAGAATCATAGAATCCATAGAATGTTTTGGGTTGGAAGGGACCCCTAGAGGTCACCCAGCCCAACCCCCCTGCAGGAGCAGGGACACCTTGAACCACAGCAGGTTGCTCACAGCCCCATCCAACCTGGCCTGGAATGTTCCCAGGGATGGGGCCTCCACCACCTCCCTGGGCAACCCTTTCCGACATTTCACCACCCTCATTGGAAAGAATTTCTTCCTTAGATCCAGTCTAAATCTACCCTGTTTTAGTTTAAAACCATCACCCTCTGTCCTGTCACAACCGGCCCTGCTAAAAAGACTGTCCCCATCTTTCCTATAGGCCAACAAGCCATGAAAAGGAGCAAAGAAGTTACAAAAAGGAGCCAGAGTTACAACGTGAAAACTGTCATCTTCTGCCACTCTTTCAAAACATGACCTGAAGTAACTCCTTAGCATATGGCCAATACCTACTTTTAGCTTTCCGTTCCACAAGTTGAGCTGCCTGTTTCCCTGGTGATACAGCAGCATCCTTTCCTGGGCTTTCAACCCCATCTTCTGGAGATTTCACCAATATCCTCTTCGCAAGTTGATAAGCTGACCCTGAAACCACAGTGGATTCAGGACTCCCTGATGCTGGAGTTTTATCCTTGATTGCTTTTTCAACAGGAGATGGCACAGCAGCTGCTTCCTTCTGAAGCTTCTCTTCTTGGCGTTGTTTCAGTTGCCGCTTCTCCCTCATTATCTCTTCAAGGCTCTTCACTTGAACTTTAGAATTAGTTGCACTCTGATCAGAGGGCTAGAAAGAAACAAAAGGACAAAATAGGACAAAAATCTATGGGATTTCGTTAAGAAAATCTGAGACAATCCCTCCGAAATGGCTCCATATGGAACAGAGCATGTTAATACCATTCAGATCTGACATTTTTTCTGTAAAATGTTGCCTGTAGCAAGATCCATGCTTTGCTATGGAAACACTGTTTCAAAAGCCTCCAATTCCCAACACAGCAAGCTAAGATTTTTAACAGAGCAGAAGACTCTAGCTGTAATCTATTAAACTCCTTTTAAGCAACAGAAAGTCATACAAGTGCACCAATACAGCAGTCACCGGCAGACCGATTTCCTCCAATACAAAGCTCTAGCCTTTTCTGTTAAAATACTTACCTCAGGATTTTCAGATACCCTTCAAGTCTGACAGATAAAGTCACCGAGAACAAAAGCATTCCCTCCACATTAACCTCGCAGATTTTATCTGATGCTAATAGGGTTTCTTATTCACTGTCAAGTATAATCAGATTAATTCACAGCTTGAGGATTACAACGCTGGCTGGAAACGCTACTGAAAGCAACAGGCCTTACTGACTTCACCGCAGCGCTTACCAAATGCAGGAAGGTAGGAACACACTCAAACTGGGAGCATGCGTCGAGTTACAAACACAACATAACAAAATCTATCCAAAATTGTACGAATATATGTATGTCTTCACAAAGGACTCACCTCTGCAGGTGCAGAGACAGCTTTGGGAGAAGGCTTGCTCAATTCCACTACCTTCTTTTCTTCTCTTCCAGGTGCTTTAAAACAAACAAGCAAAAAAATAATTTTGTCAACAGCAGAAGTAAAGAAACCTGGTTACCCGTTTCCCTGTTGTGTTTATGTTGTCTTTATTTCCTCATGTCTAATAAGGGGACAGAGGGAAAGGCTACAGTAAGCAACACTCTTTTTACAGGGCTTATATAATCTGAATGATGAGATCTTTAATGCTCTGTCATTTTTGACAAAAACTGGGCCTCACATTAAGAAGCTGATACTCGCTTCGCAAACACATATATACACACACATCAGTAACCAAGTTAAACAACACATATGCCAACAAAGAAGGTAAACTTGGATTTAACACAGGGAAGATCCCATTCCACAAGCAGATGGCAGAAAAAATAGAAGGGATAAATCAGACTACACAGTTCCTCAATGAATGAATTTTCCAGTGGGAAATACAGAAAACTACCTTGTAATTTATGGAAAATAGTACGTTTGCATATTCTGGCACTTTCTTGACTTCTGACTTTGTAGCTTTAAACTCTTTTATCCTCTAGTATACATAGAAGGAAAAAGCAAAGCGAATCCCGAGCAAACTGAATTTGCTTGACAGGGAGCACTTCACCAGGGCAGGTACCAGATCATCTTATTACCTATTAGCTTGGTGATCCGTAACAGTCTCCTCCCTGGCGGGGCAGGTTCAGGTTGTGCTGGTGGAGCTGGCACATTTTCTCCACTCTGCTGCATCCGCAGAGCTTTCTCCTGCTTGATTTCTTCCAAGGTTTTAATACGCACTTCTCCTGCTGGCTTGGCTTTACCCGCTGGCTCTGCCAGCTGCACTTTGCTGGGCGCAGATGGAGCGAGTACGCTCTGCTTCTTGGGCTCACTCTCAACTTTTGTCTTGGTAGGAAACTCTTCTGGTTTTTGCTTCTCTTCTTCCAATCGCTTGTGTTTTTTTTCAGCCAGGGCTCCTGAGAAAGTTTTGATGCGAACTGCAGGGGAAGGTCTTGCCCCCGAGCTGGGATCTTCTGTTTTACAATGTCCTTCAGTCTGGGGTTTTCCTTGAGGTTCTCCTCGTCTCTGATTAGCTCTCTCAAGACGAATTTCCTCCAGTGTTTTCACATGGATCTCTCCTGTTGGCTTAGCAGCCTTCTCTGTTGTCATAAAAAAAAAAAAAAAAAGCACACCAATATTTAAAGAGAGGCCAACAATATTTAAAGTCTCCAAAATGTGTCACAGTACTAAGGAAAACTATGTTTGAGTGTTCCCAAGATGCATCTTTGGACAGCATTATTCTGCATAATATTCTCCTCCTCCTTCAAGCCACTGAAAACCAGCACTATCCAGAGAGAGCTGTGACACAGAGAACATTCGTCTATTTTATTTTGTTACTTTCTCAGACTGTCTCTCTCCATTAGCATCTCAAACCCCTGCTCCTGGCAGTGGTTCTATTCTACCGGTGCGCAAGCATACTGCAGCTTCTGACGGTTCACAGCAGGAGTGTGAAACCTTGATGAGGCACAAGTGGAAAACACACACACACCTAGAGCCAGAATCCTGACAGTGGCCATCAGGACAGCTTCAGCAGTTGAGCAAGAGGAATCAGGCAGTTTTTTAAAAATAACTGTTAGGGCTGCATGGAAGTTCATGAGGAAAAGAAAAAAAAAAAAAAGGGAAGGCATATTTAATATCCAGTTATTACCTGTCTCTGTACTGGTCTGTTCAGACGGCAATACTAGCCTCTCCTTTAGAGACTTGGGGACTTGAACTACAAGACAGAACAGAAAAAGTTAGGGAGACTGCATAACTCTCAACTTTGTGCACACATTTTGAAACAAGAGAGATCACATTGCTGGGATTCAAAGTTACCTTGAGCCCTCAACCAACATGCAAAAAGAATCATTAGAAGAAAGGGCAAATAGAAAACCTAAATAGAAAACCTGTGCATCAAATCCAGATGCCTGTTTAGCAGCCATACCTCTCTTTGGTGCTTTGTCAGCATTCTCCAGAATCTCTATCTTCTTCCCCAGCCTTTCGGCAAGGTTGCGCTTTAGTGGAAGGACACTTTTAGCAGCTTCAGAAAGAGAAAAGACAAGAAATACTTCAAGAACTTTTCTCTGGAGGAGAATTTTAGAACAGTCAGCCACAAACTTCAATTCTTCCAGGTATATTTTCCTGTATTTGCCTTTCAGTTGCTAACAAAATTTGCCACTTCAGCAGTCAACGCAGATCTCTGCCAAAATGTATTTTCCTCCCTCATACAGTAAAAATACCCTTAAATATCGTCATGTTTAGATGAGGGCACCCAAACAGCTCACAAAAAGCTCTTACGCATGGAGGTTTTCCGTTTCCCCAGTCTCTCGGCAAGATTCAGTTGAATCACAGGCTCTTCCCCTAAAAACAAAGATTAATCTCTTTAGTGCACAGAAACCAGTACCCAGTAAAAGCCCTGTCCTTCTAGCCCATGTCCCCAAAAAAGACACTATTTTGGTAGCCAAACCACATAAATAAATGACTACGAGTAGTTCTTCACGTTTTTTGCCTTTAAAAGAAATTTGTGCAGATCCAAACTCCACCATTTATACTACTGTCTGCAAACTGCCACTGTCAGCCTCTTCAACGCTTCAACAATTGGCTTCTTGTACAACACCTTCTTCTATAGGTCTGCCCTTTCATTACTCCCGTTTTTCAGTTATCACCTTATTTGCATCCCGACGCTTATTTTGACATTCGCCCCTCTCTCTGCTGCTACTGCACTTAACCCAAACACTAATTCTGTCACATGCTGTCAACACATCAGCTCATTCACAAATCTCACTCAACTTCAGGAAGACGAAAGTGAAATTACACACATTTCAGAGTCTGTAGGATGGTGGTAATATATGATTAGCTATGGCTTGATGTCAGGCTGATAAAAAACCCACTTCTTGATCTTTTATTGCAATACAACAAACTGAGCACCTACAAATGCCATATCTTTCCAATACAGCCAGGGATTTTCAGCATAAAAGCATGGTTTTTATTTGAAGAGGCAGCACCAGCAGACTCAGATGCCTGAATTATCTTAATTAGTACTTAACCTTTCGGTTTAGGAGCCATGAAGTGGAAACAACAGTATTAATTACCTTGCTTTGTAGACAGAGTCACGGTTCTCACAACTGTCCGTACATTTTCCTTTTCTGGTACAGGTATAGTCCGAGACTGGAGCGGATGAACAGAAACTCCTGAAGGACCTTCTGATCAGAGCAAGCAAAACATAAGGATATTTAGGAAAAAACCCCAACCAAGCAAAACAGAGGAACTATCACGAAGTCCAAAACCATTAGTTATTCATTACTGTCAAACATACAATGACCGGTGCATGTAAATAAGAGATGAGCAGATTCCCTCTAATTTGCCCTTGAAATTCCAATCTAGAATACCAGCTGTTTGAGTTTAAGAAAACAGGTTGCATGCCAAAGTAGCTCAAGGCCCCCAGCTAAACATGGAAGTGTGTCTCAAGCAGCTCTCAGCTGCAATCATTTCCCAGTCTGAACCCAACAGCGCAAAAAAATTTCCTTTCCTTTGCAAATAATTGTGTTCACTGATGCATAGTCAGCTATCCAGGTATTATCAGAGGAAAAAAAAAAAAAAAAAAAAAAGATGAAGGTGAACAGAAGGCAGAAGGATAGGAAAGCAGGGGATATTAACTCATCACCTTGCTTTTTTGTTTTTTCCTTTAGTTTCTTCAATTTGATTTCTTCAAGCGTTTTTATTCCAAAATTTAAATTGTCATCTGAAAACACAAAACAGTTAATGAAACTGAGGCTTCAAGGCAGACAACTGAAGAGCACAGATCCTCAAGCTTCTTATAGCTCAGAACCTTTCCAAAGTATTTCAAATAAACCCTGCCAACATTCCCCACAAGTAAAAAGAAAGCCATAGAACGGATGGTGTTCTGGTAAGCAATTGGCACCTTTCTTCACCCCTCCTCCCACCCTTCAGGGTAAAACCTATAGTTTTAAGCATTTGAATCCATCTACACAGTATTAGATTCCTCAATCATTAGACATGGCTTTCCACAATGCTTGAAAAGACAGATTTGCAGGCATTTAAACTCCACTCCGTGGCTCTTTTTTATTCTACAAAAGTAAACAAAGAGGAGTTTACCTGTCTGTCGCAAGGGACACGTGACTGTATTAAGACAGGAATGAGCTCACGGAAATAGCTGACTCCACCCAGCTACCCTGTGTTCTATTGTATTGAGTTAATTGTCAAATTCTCCTTCCCATCCATCCTACTACAGCTATTAGAATACCTTGTTTTGCATTAGCATTGGATTTCCTGGTGGAAATCATCCGCAATCCATTATGGTTTTCTGTAGTTGGTTGCTGGACAGGTGTTTTAGTTTCATCTCCTTCTTCAGAAAGTTGGTCTGAAAGGCAAAAATAAACCTATTCAGTCATGCAGGAGGGATTAGACAAGATTTTTCATGTTTATGTAGCTCATACATTTCAGTCCTTGTTTCATATTCTGTTTGTATTTTTAACTACAAACACAAGTGTTTATAGAAGGATTTTTTCAAACAGCTGTATTGACTTGAACTCATAAGTAAGAATTATACTGGGAAAAAAATATTTAGGGCTCCAGATTCTTGTCTGTAACATGAAACACTACACAATTCAGGTATTCTGTGATTTATACAGCCACTTACAGTAAAATGCCTTCAAGAAGTAAAAAAATGCTCACCATCGTCGTCTTCATCATCATCTGCAGCATTGATTACAACTGGAGGATGTGTAGGACTTGGGACATTTTCAGAGTTTTCCACTTTCATCACCCCCCTCAGCTGGGGAGAGGGATTTGACTGGACAGAAAGTTTGTTTTGCTGCAGTGACATCTGAGCCATTTTCACATCGTCTTCCGCAGACTCAGGTGGACTTGGAAGGGTAGCTAGAGGAAGAGGAGGATCATTTGTGATTTGGCCATTTAAAACTTCAACCCTAATGCTGCGCTCACTGCGTAGATATAGTAGATAAGGTAGATAACCCACCTGGCTACTGATTTTAGAGTCTCCTATTCCCTACCCCTAGTTACAGTATGAACAACAGCTTCCCTTCACACATGAATCTCACCATCCTACCACCGAGAAAGGATTAAATGAGGGGAAAGCAACCAGAAAGGCACCAATCACACAAAGCACAGAGAAGCTGAGCACAAAAGAAAACATTAGATACCAGAATTACATTCCATTTAGCTGAGAACCCATGACTGCAGACTTCTCCCTGCACTCATAAATGAACAGTTACTTGATGTCTTCTACGGTATTGTACCCACTCGTAAGTAATATTCAAAATTAATTCTTTAATACTTAAAGAAAAAGGACCTAAGAAACTCACTTTTGCTTGGCGGTAAGAAGAGTCCATCAACATAACGTCCTTTTGTATGATGAAAAGCACAGTTGGATTTTTGACAGCCTACTGGCTGATTCTCCCAGTAGCAAGGAATCTCGCTGCGTTTTTTCTGAAGACAGAAAGAAATAAAAGCTCATGGTAACACTCACCTTAGATTTGCAAAGAGATATAGTTTCACATCCTGCCAGAGATAGGACCAGTGCAGTGCAGTGCCGAAATGTCATTCCAAAGGTCAATTTATCACTAAAATAAATATTTCAGGGCATATATATGAAGTTTGCGTAAGCTGTAACAGCTACATATTATCTGGCTTTCCTATCGTTCAGTTTGAGAAGACAGGCACTCTCACAAATCAGTTTGGGGGAGTTATTACTTGGGGTTATTCAGAGGGAAAAATGTTTTAAATTGCCTAGGTTAAATTTATCTGAACTTAGCTTTCAGAGCTTTAGTACCTTCCCATCTTTTCTCTTCCCACCCTGTACTACCCCAAGAGGTTAGAACAAGGTTATCTGAAGAAACCCAGGACAGAAGAGACCATTATGGCCTCAAGTTGCACCAGGGCAGGTTTAGGTTGGACATTAGGAAAAATTTCTTCCCCTAAAGGGTTATCAGGCCCTGGAAAGGGCTGCCCAGGGAAGGGGTCGAGTCCCGATCCCTGGAGGTATTTAAAAGATGGGCAGATGAGGTGCTTAGAGACATGGTTTAGTAGTGGACAGGTACAGTTGGACTCAATGATTTTCAAGGTCTTTTCCAACCAAATGATTCCATGATTATGACCAGACAGGCCAGCACCAAGCCCCCGCCTCAGGAGTCTGGTGCGGGCTGTTTACTACCACCCTGCTCCAGCACATTTAAGCAGTCTGACCAATGCGGTTGCTTTTGCCTCTGCTAAAAAAATGTCAGCATCTAATACAAAAATTTCTTGCTGAGATATACCCAAGACATTGTTTTTTCTTCCCCCAACTTCCTCCCACTCCACTGCCAGTAACAGAAACCAGTATCATTTTATAGCAAGTAAATCTATCACGGAAAAGCACATTCAGTCCACCTGCAGCAATGAAAAATGCTTTCGGTGATTTAGTTTGAGAACACATCTTTAGGCAAACACTCACATCAATTTCCATGTGTCTGAATCTGCAGATATTCCTGAAACAGCGACCCTCCTGCCAGAGCGTGCAGACTGTTTCATTCCCCAGAGCAGCTTCACAGTGGCGGAAGGAACAGCTGTCTCCCTGTAATCAATAGGAAATCAACAAAATGGAAAATAAAACAGAATCTTATTCTGTTAATTGTTCTGGTAACTTATTAAGTTACCAGGAATCTGTATGTCTCCTCCCACTCTTCCCCCTCCTCTCTTAAAAACTAAAAAGGAAAAAAAAAAAACCAACTCCAAAGCAAAAGAAACTCAAACATACCTTGTTACATGTGGAATAGAAATAGAAGTAGCAGTCATCTCCTTGGTTAGACATAATGGACAAATTCTTGGAACAAGCTCAGGTTCTGAGGGTTCACTCAACCGGGACTTCTTCTACTCTTGGCAAGAGCTGGCTTCGCTCTTTCTTGGACTGAAAGTCTTCTACTGGCTTGATCAGTGAAATCTTCTTTTTAAAAGTAACCCTAAAGAAAGACATAAGTGAAAAATATTTACATAATAAGCATTTTTACAGCCGTTTTCTGTTAATCAAATTAGTCTTGAGGGGGGCGACGTCTTGAAATCAGTTGGTCACAAAAACTATCTCAATACTAAGTCAAACTTCTGTAAAACTACATGGGTTTCATCAGCAAGCATTCTCTTCTGTGTCCTCAGTAACAGTTATATGCCTCAGAGCACAGGAAAAACTACTGCATGCAGCTGTAAGCCCCACAAGAGTCACCACTTAAAAAAGTTATCAGTCAATGAATAACTGTGGGTACTAATAATTTCTATAAAATACATTGACATATTAAACATTATTTTCCAATCACCATGGATCTTTGAGTTCACATACCTGGACAACTTCAGCAAAGATATTGATCTTCAAAGACTTCCAGTTAACTTCTCCTGTAGGCCGAACCAACACTGAATCCGTGAATTAATAATAAAGGGGTAGGAAGAATTTTCCTCCTCACATTGCCAAGGGAACCTCTCATCCACAATTCAAACATAGGATGTGCTTTTAAACATCTTACAACTAATGGAGGAAGCAAGTCCATTTGAATACTGTCAGACTGGAGACAGCCAGGGTTAGTTAGCTCTTCAAAAAAAAAACAAAAAACCAAAAACCAAAAAAAAAAACCAACAAAAAACCCCAGTGCATTTAAAGATGAACTTGTGATTCAAAGGGGCTGCAAAAATGAGGATCCATCTTCCACAGCTGGACAATTTTAAATTTTTTTTTTTTTTTTTTTTAATTTAAAATTCAGTAAGTTGCAATTTCTGGTCTTCAAGATTTCTTCACCTATTAAGAAAACACAAAAACCTTCCCCCATCTTTATTACCTGTACAACAAAAACATACTTGTGCGTATAAATACACAAATATGTATATACATACACATATGTGTTTATACACACACCAAAAGCAAGTGATAATAAAAGTCAGCAAGAGTGACAATAAAAATCAGAGATTTTGGCTATTTGCCACATAAGACTGCATAAAAAGTCTCTCATTTTGAGGGAACAGGCAAAAATGAAAGGTCTACATAATATTCTGATGAATATGCCTTCAAGGCTGATGCTTTATAACATGAGTGATTTTAGGGCCAGCACACAAATATGCATACGTATGTACATGCATACAGTATAAACATATCTATACACACAAGCGTGCACAGTATATGTTGTATGAGATCCGTATCGAGAACAACTTTTAGCCCTGATCAGACACGTAGAGTTGCAATCAATTAACAGCAGGAAGACAGCAGATCAAGGATACAGCAAGCTTTGAGAGGCAGGGAAATGCTCACTTTGCAAGTGGCATGGCTGCATGATACCAAGAATTTTGAATTATTTTGATTTTAGGAAATAATTTGTTTTCTTTTTACATCAGAGCAAATACTATGAATTTGCCATCACATGCTGTTCCCTAATCCAGATATCCATCATCATCCATCGCTGCAAGATCACGTAATGTTTGAAAAGATGGCTCAGGTCCAATTCAACAGCTGATGATTTTTTGGTGCCACAAGAGCTGAAACCGATTTTATTTAGCCACAAGCAGTTGTTTTTGATGTGAAGTCAGGTATTTTGATTCTTATTTTTTTTTTAAAGATACTAAATGCAATAAAACCTGCAACCAGACCAGATAAAGTTCAAATTAAAGTGATTCTGACCCCTTTCATTAAAATGCTGCACATTTCTGTGCAAAGTACTTCTGACTCTTTTGGACAAAACTCAATGAAATAATTCTTACAAATTAATAATAAAAGGTTGGAACCTTTTACTCACACAAACACTAGTGAATTTTCCACGATATTTTTTTTTGGCAGGGAATTTTCCCAAATCTAAAATAAAGAGAGGAAAAGTTGGGTTCTCATATTAGTTATTGCTTTTTTGACTGCTTGACAAAGGGAATAAAAACAATGGTTAAGTGCAAGGTTTTCCTCCCTTCTTCAATATTGATGTGACTGTTCACTTTTGACCTCTAGCACCTTCAAAACCAGACTTTGTGTCATATGGATTCCTGTGCATCTACTTCTAAACCTTACTGGTGCTCCTTCAGGTAGAAGTTTGACAAGAAACATTTTTTCCAAATGTGTTACCAAGACCATTGATAATGAAATTAAATTTCAAGCATGATTTTTTTCAGTTTGCACCAGCTTAAATAGATGGCAACGAAGGACCACTGCTTTGCTGCGCAGAGGCATTCACATCCAAATCAGAAGGAATTCATGGTCTAGAAGGCGGCATTTCTTTTCCCTAGGAAGTGAGAGACACCTGTATAACGCAGCATCACTGCATCCTATCCACCACCGTGGGAGACAAAAAAATATTTAAAAAAAAAAAAACAAAAAACAAAAAACAGAAATCCCCTCAGATTTAGCTCTTCTGAATGCTCAAGCAGCTCAGCATTTTGCTTGTTGCCTTCCATATGTCTGAGCAGACTTCAAGAGCTGTTCGGAATTTGAGTGGACCTTGTTTAAGGAATGGGAAAAAAGCAAAACTTTAAAAAAAACCAAAACCAAACCAAAACAAACAAAAACCAAAATAAAAACCCCAACCCCCCCTCATAGTTCTAAACTCCATAAAAGGCCTTTCATTTTAAAAAAGGTTAACTAAAAAAAATTTTTTTTAAACAGGTATCAGAGTGCTGAACAGAAATCAACTGAACTAACCCCTGAAAGTCTGAATAAAAATGAGTAACTCTGGTGCACTCAGCAGGTCTCTAATGGAAGTTGGTAAGAATTTTAAACACTTCTTTTTTTCTCCAGAACTCTAGTAAAGTTTTTGTTTTAAGAGATTTTCAATTCACTTTGTAAAAAAATTTTAGGGGTCAGGAAAAAACAGGCCAACAACTGCCATAAATTTGACCTTTGCTAAGGGAAGATAAACAGTAGAACGGAAGTCTGTCTGGGTTGTTTTATAAGCTCGTCTGTCTTGGCGCTGAAGAAGCAGTCCTATTCCCTGGTCTAACTCCCCAGCTTGCTGACCTTTGTCTTGTACTGAAGAGCGAGAAGGGAACAGAATTTTTCTGCACCTCAACAAACGCATGAGAGAAGTATTACTGCACCTATCTACAGGTACTTTTTGGTTATAAAGTATGAAGTATTTCTCGTGGACAGTCTCTCTTGCTGGCTCACCACCCCTGTTTATTAGGACAGTAAGACGACAAGGAAGGAAGAGCACCAGGCACTCCATGTTCTAGCCCCCCTTTTCAATAGGTCACCCCTTTTTCACCCCAGCTGCAAAACAGCCGCTGCTGATTTACCCCCTTGTGACTGTACTGCACAGGCTGAAGGGGAGGTGTGCGCTAGGTGTTACAAATTACATCAAGAACAGCGCACTGATGCATACGTAAACCACGCATCTCCGTGTTGTCTGAAGCACGGAAGAACCTCTTGCTAACACATCTCATTCTCGATACGAAAATCTAAAGCAAAATGTCCAAAACTGAAGTGGAATAGTCATAATTTCTAGTTTTTACTTTCTTTTAGTCAATTCTAGCTGTTCTGAGACTGAGGGTTACCGCACTCAAGACCCACTCAGAGCAAAGGCTGCAAGGTTGCCAGCCAAGGAGGCAAAGGTTAAAGCAGATGATCGTCTCGGCTTCCCCCACCAGCAAGTCAGGGTCACCTTTCATCGTGATCTATAAGAGTCCAAGCTGCAAGTTGCCACAGCCACAAGGCACAGCTGCTCCCTTGCTGGCTGGAACAACTCTAGGTGAAGACTCAGGGACCTGAATTAGGACATTTTTCCTTGAGATGAGAGGCAAATCAATCTGTTCCTGAAAGGGCTGATTGGCCTGGTGTTTCTGTAACTGTCAAAGAATAACCCTGTACTGAAGCACTCATCTGATCAGACACTGCTTCAGTACAGATTTGTCTTTAGCTTGACGCATCAAGATGCAGGAGAAGGAATTCTTCAAAGCAACCTTTAAAGCGGGGATCTAGTAAAGTGGCCAAGACAAAGCATAGAGATCCAAGTGCACCAATCCATAGAGAATCAGTTTCAAGCCCAAGATATTTCACCCATCTCGCAGTTCAAGAGTGACAGTGACACCTTCGATTTGAAAGTCTTTCCACGTGCTCTGCAAAGCCAGAAGGATGTGACCGATAGCAGCACTTGACTGAGAACTGCAATTCCCCACTGGCCTCCACCTGCAGGCCAAGAATCTTGCACTCATCAGACATCTGGGACCACTGGAACCAGCTGAGAATAGCCCCATTCTCCCCCCCACCCCCAGGCAGATACTGCTCCACCTTCTGCTGTTTTAAAGTCACTTTAACATATAAAAGGTAGAGAGAGGTTTGCTGAGCAGCAATTTCCTGCTTCAAGTGATCCTGTGAAAAATGGTTTGAATGCTGGAGGTTCCTGAAGAATTTGATGGGCCTCAGCAGAATGAGCAAGCAAATCTCTTAAGCACTTGCTAACCTGTTCTCGGTGCTCCTGTGCTCAAAGTCCTGAATCATTAATTTTAAAATATACGTAAAAGATGGCAGCTGGCACCTAGCACTGCACAAGGCAGCAGCAGTGTTGTCGGAAGCTGGAAAGCTGGGATTAGAGGATTAAGGGAAAGCCACACATCCATCTGGTAACTTGGTTCTTGTAGGACACTTCCTACTGCAGAAGTTTTAGCAAAGCCAGTGGGAAGGAGCTGCTTTTTTTCTAAAAGGGGGCTTCGGCTAGTGCAGCGTATCAAAAGGTATCCTTGGACCATCGCTGTCAAGTAGGCTGTGGTTCATTCAGAGTCCATGTATCTACAGTTAAATGCGTGGTTTTGCATCATGTTTTGGAGAAAGCTATGAAACATTTTTCTTTTACAATGCTGTATAGTCACATATCATAGATGGGAACTGACTTTCTATTACCACGATCTGTATGAACTTCTAATAAGTTGGCACTGAAAAAAAAAAAAAAAGTGTCTTCAGTCATCAATTTCATCATAGCTCTGTTTATCTGTTATTTAAGTTCATTCTCATATCTGAGTTTCTTCACAGCAGTATGTAGTTGAGAGTCCCACAGTTAAGATTTATGTCCCTGCTCCTACCAAGCACCTGCTTAGTAGGCAAAGATGGAATAGGAGCACCCAAGCCTGGAGATGTTAAACCACAACTGGCTCGAAGCCTATCTGTTGAAAAGAAATAGGTCAATGCATCACCTTCATGGGGCAAACATTCACGTGGAACAGCTGAAAAATCCAGAAGTAATTCTCAAGCTTCAGGTCACCAGCAGCACCATCAGATTTAGGTGCCCAGCATGCAGGATGTGCGGTCTGCAAGTGTTGCTGCAACATGGAAGTGCCAAGGCAAGTCCCTGCCCTGCCTGACACACTTGTTAAACATTTCAAGGAATGTGCCAGGTATACCGAGGGTCAACTGAGAATTTCCAGACAACAGATGTGTTTGTCCTAATTTCTGGCATCAAAAGGCTTTTGATAGTATTGCTTCCATGAAAAAAAACTCCCGTCTTCTCCAGATGCTCCAGGATCCACTATTGCTGCAGCTGCAACGGCTACACTGGTAACCCACATCTATGGCAAATCTCTTTGACAGTTCTCGTTTACCCGGGTACATTTGCAGTCCAGTCCTCTTCCAGCTGAAAAACCATCCTGCTGGCTCTGTCACACTGTCACTGCCGATGTCAGAGCTGAGAACTTACATCAAACTCCCACTGCTAAAACTGATGTCTGGGGAGACAGTTGACACAGACGTGTTACAGGTATATTCACCCTCCCTACAGCACTTACAGCCGAGACACCTGGCAGTTAGCCACAGCCTAACGTACACAGTGCTCTGCTTGGAGATGTCACCGAAGACCCCAATGTCCCCAGATGAGTACCTGGCTTGCCACAGTTGGTTTTTTTTTTTTTTTTTTTCTAACCATATGCTGGACACGGCACACCAGGTGAACCGCAGATCCGAAGTTCCACGCAATGGAAGTCTCTGCTCTTCTTCCAGGCAACAGTGCATGCTTTAACATAACTGCGTTCAACAAAGAAGCTCTCTCCACCTTGCTCAGTGGCAACAGGCAGGACTGCAGCACACACAGGTGTAGCAGTATCTGCAGGTCCCAAATCCATAACAAATTTTTAGATAGCACCAATTTTTTATGTAGTGGCTTTCCCTTAATTCATAACCCTTCTTTCCTACATTTTCAGTGGGTGGCTCTCCTCCATTGTTCTCTCTGTCCACCAGCTTTTCCTCCTCGATGTCTGAAAGGGCATTGGGAATCAGTTCCAAACTAAGAGGACTGCTAAAGCTGCTACATCTACACTTGGGTGAGACAGGCATACTTAAGAAGATGACACTCATTATTTTTCTATTTCTGAAATCAACGCTGGGGCCTGGCAGCAATTTACTATGAGGACTGAGCTTCCTCACTGAAATGTTTTATTAAATCTCAAAGAGTCAATTTCCCCTGGAAGCAGCCATTTGGAAGGGTGCCATTTTAGACCAGAAGCAACAGCAAGAGGAAGTTTTCTCCAGACTAGCTCTCCTCCTGAAAAACCTCGCCACCCAGCAACAAATTCAGCCTATGTGTTCAGCCTGATCAGTTTAATGCGTGTCCAATTCAACCACATGACACAGCAGTGATTCTGATATAATTTCAAAATCCCTTATCCCCAGGAGATCCCCTTTTTTTACAGTCAAACACCACACGCAGTGTTTTGTTTTGAAAGCACGGCCCAGAGCTCAATCCCCAAGCGCAGCGTGCATCCCAAAGCACCAGTTCTGGGAACAATCTGTAGGCTCCACATATGGATCCCTGCAACAGTAAAAATCACTTTTGCACTTTCATTATAAACACCAGTGCCAGAAAACAGAAACCTCTTTGATCCAATTCTTAAGAAACAAAACCAAAACGTCACCCAACTGGGTTGTTTTAAACAACCTAAAGGAGAAATTAAGGTGACAACCGGGTGCATCCAGAGTTAGTCAGATCCTGAAGGCAGTTGCTTTGGGGAACGGAGGAGCAATTTGTCAGATGACTACATTACAGCACGCCCCTTATACGCATTGCTACAAAAGGAAGGCACAAGGTTTTAACTCAAAATAACGTATAAGGGACCTGCACTGGGACCTTCAACGTGCCCAACCGAACCTCTCCAGAGCCCGCCCCAGAACGCTGCTTC